CACCTTATTACTTAGCTTCTCTAGGATCATGAACTATAGCCTCAATGTCCTTTGTTTATAGCTGGTATCCACTTATGAGTGAGTACATACCATATTCAGGTTTTTTTGGATATGGGTTACCTCACTCAGGATAGTGTTTTATAATTCCATCCATTTGCATACAAAATTCAAAATGTCATTATTTTTACCGCTGAATTATACTCTAATGTGTAAATGTGCCACACAGCAAAAAGCTCATAAATTTATAAATATATTTGTTTTCATTTATTTGTGTGCTGTTGGGAGGAGGCCCACTTGTTGGTTCCTGGCCACCTGGAACCAAAATATCCATACAGAAACATTAATTAAAACACTTCTTGGCCAATTAGCTTTAACTTTTTATTGACTAACTTACATTAATTTAATCCATTTCTATTAATCTGTATATAGCCACATGACCAGTGGATTTCTGTCAAAGTTTCAGCATTTCTAACTCTGGTGGCGGCTCTATCACTTCTCTCTGACTCCAACTTCCTCCTCCCAGGTTATAGGCCAAACCAGTTTTTTATTTATTAACAAATAAAAGCAACACTTAAACAGAAGGACCTCACACATCAGTGTGCATGTACAAACTCACCCCACACACACCCTATTTCATACTTGTGAATGTCAAAGGACAACCTGTAGGAATCTATTCTTTCCTTCCACCTTGTGGATCATGGGGATGATGCTCAGGTCTTTCAGTTTTGATGGCAAGCACCTCTACTTGCTGAACTACCTTTCCAGCCCATTTCTGCCTTTAGTTTTCCTTCATACCACTTTACTTCATTTAAGTGAATTCAAAGAAAGTGAAAACCAATAAAATAGCAGAACATTTTAAATGTCACTGTAAACCTAATTGTTCCTAAGAAGACCTATCACTGTTGAAATCTGAGTGGCCGCGCTGCGTCCCCAGCACCCTGGCCGCCTGCCAGCTTATGCCCCGAAATAACAACACACAAACTGTATTCATTTAAACACTGCTTGGCCCATTTCTATCTAGCCTCTTCTCAGCTAACTCTCGCACCTGGACTAGCCCATTTCTATTAATGTGAAGATTCTATCTTCCTTCCATCCTGGGTCGGAGCTGCCTGGGAGAGTGGAGCCTGGCATCTCTGCTCCAGAGAGCAGAGCTGTCGAGTCTGAGCTCACTTCCTCTTCCTCCCAGCATCCTATTCTGTTTACTCCTCCCACCTATGTTTTAACCTATCAGGGCCAAGGAGTTTCTTTATTGCTTAACCAATGAAATCAACAGATTGATATATGACACTCCCACATCATATCACGAGAATACAAATCTTCTAACTACCTAGATATTTATAAAATGTAGAAGAATTTGAGATAGGGATGATGGAGGAAAACCAGTGAAATAAAGGTCTGGTTTGAAGATGAAGTTAGCATTAACAATTATCAACTTGAGAAGCACTTAGTAACTCTCATCTGCGTTCTTGCCCCCAGTGTTAAATATTTTGGAAGCATGATTCTATGTAAATTCTTAAAGCACATGAGCATGCTAAAGCTGTATGTGCTAAAATTATGTTTTCTCCTTCTAGTGTTAAAACACGGCCAGTGCGGATGCCGCCGGGCTATCAAGCAGATCTTGTTATTCAGTTGGTGTGGGTCGATGGTGAGCCTCCTCAGCAGATTACCAGCCTTGCTGTAAGCTCAGCGTACGGAATGTAAGTGGTTAAACTTTCTTTCTGGTCAGTATTACTGAATTTTAAACAGCTTACAAATGTTTCTTTTAAAATATTAAGACTTAAAAGAGAAATCCCTTAGTTCAATTTTTATTAGATTGACCATTGTATGATATAGTAATAATTAAACTTATGCTATGATTATATTATTTGTTTTCTTTTCCTTGATTTCATATTAGTGGCAATGTTCCTACTTCAGATTTCTCTTTTTGGATTGATTTGGAATTTTTGCCTCTTTTCCCTTACTTTTCACTCTTGGGCACCTTCTTTTGACCAGTCTTGTAGAGATCACTTCTACTTTAATTGATAGTGGATCTGCCTGTAGAGCTTGGCTTCAGGTACATTTGCAAATAGAGCAAGTTTAGGTTTCTCACGACGACTGACTTTCATCCTTCTGGGGTATTTCTGATCTCAGTTGTAAGGTACTTGAATGGTATAATCCATCCACATTACTTGATGTGGAAAGGGCAGGTATTATTTTCTGCCCCAGTTACCTTGAAGATGGGTGAATTCAAGCAGTTTTAAGATACCCTTTTCAGAAGACTGGCCTTCCAAGGCAGGAGCAAGAACTTAAAAGGTTGTGGAGACATGCCACTCAGTTCAAGAACTGAAGAGAACTAGAGAAAATCATTAGAGAAATAATTTCTGTTATTAGAATTCCACTGAGGAGCATATGAGAATGACAGCTAGGGTGATTGCCTTATAGAACTTCAGTCTCTAAAAAAAAAAAATCCCACATCAAATCATCATCAAAGTGAATTCCACAAAATATTAAAGAATAAGTATACTTATTATACAGAATCTTTCTGAGATTTATGAATGATAAAGTAATACTTGTTTCATTTTGTGAGTTAATATAAATTTGAGGACTTGAAAATGTTATTACAAGAATGGAAAATTATGTCTATGACTTGAGCAGTATGAATTAAAAATTCTACTAAAATATAAATAAATCTATCAAGAAAACTTATAAAAATTTTCATAACCAAAGTTCAATTATATTGGGAATAGAGATAGTTTTATCATTTTAAATGAATCAGGGCAATTTATCAAATTAACAGAATAAAGTAGAAAAATCATATGATAATATCAGGGATGCAAAAACAAAAAGCATATGAGAAGCTGCCCATGCCCCAGCAGATAGAGTTGCCCCAGTCACATACTGGAAGTACTAAGTAGACTCGGAGGTTAAAACAGCATGGCCACTTGAAGTTGGGAAGAATTGGAGCAGAGAGTATGAGGGATAGACTTGATCCAAACACACTGTATACATGTACAAAGTTCTCAAACAACAACAACACACACGCAAATACACACACGATGTTCAATACCCATGGTGAGTTTAAAAGAAGCTTCTAGCTAAGAATATGAAGACAATTTTTTCTTACTCTAATATGTTGCAACAAGAACTATACTTTATGGTGACATGATAGACATTTTACCTCTTGAGTTTTAAAAATATAAAAGTTTACTTGGGCTGCCATAATAAAACACCTTAGACTGGGTAATTTATGTATAACCGAAGTATATTCCTCAGTTCTAGAGACTGGGAAGTCTAAGATCAGGGCCTGAGCAGATTCAATGTCTGACAAACGCTCACTCTTTTAGAAATGGCATCTGGCTGCATTCTCATGTAGAAGATACAGCAAACAAGCTTTCTTTCTTCATAAGGACCTAATCTCATATGAGATGGAAGTCCTCAAGACCTAAAGACTCCACATCTCAATACTATCACCTTTGGGTTTTACATTAAACATCCTTGATAATATTCATTACAGCTATTAATTGCCATGTGCCATTTAAGCTTATTGAGAAGCTAGCTCTGAGAAAAATGGTTGATGTGCTCTCCAAATTAATTTCAAGCCTAAACATTTTTTCTCCAAATGCCCCTAGACAAGGGATAGGCTGGCTCAAAATCCTTGTGACATTGGAAAAAAGCAACCAGCAAAGGGTTCTGAAAACACTGTGTCCTTGAGAACAGCTAGGAAGAAAAACCATTTTCAACAGCAGTTTCTGCTAATTATCACTCTAAATGTCTTCAGTGGGTGTGAGAAGCCAGGAGCTCATCCAGAAAGAGGAAGTACAATCTGGAGCTCCAGCTGCCTCAGCTTCCAGAGTTGATGTCTGTCAGAGAAGCCCTAAACTTTATATTATCTTTGTTCTCTCAAGCTGGGTACTCCTGAATGTTCTCTTCTCAATGTTGTGAACTGAATTGATGGTGTTTCCATAATCTGTTGTATGCCTATTTGTTCTTTCACTTCTGCTTGCTATGAAACTAAGAAATTAACTAATTCAAAATTGAAAGTATTTCTAATGTAAGTCAATTTTAGCACATAGAATACATGATTTGGGGGAGCTACAGAAATTCAGACCATAGCTTTTTGCTCCTAATTCCCCAAAATTCATATATTTATCACTTGTAAAATGACCTTTATTCAACAACAGCACCAAAAGTCTTAGCATTTCAGCCTTAGTCTATAAGATTTCAGACTGAAGTTTCATCTAGATGTTATCTGAATAGATAGGTATAAGACTCAAAGTATGGTTCATTGAGAAGTAGACTCTGCTACCTAAATGTTTCACTCACCTACCTAAAGTTATTATTCATGAGTCAAGCTTTTCTCTAGCCATGAACCTATGAAATTAAATGCTTCCAAAATAAAATGGCAATTATTTGTCCCACCATTCCTAAAGTCATAAATATTAAGTGGGGGATCATACTATATTCCAACTAGAAACAAAGTATGACGTGGAAACATTAAATTTGAAGTCTGGTTAATAACTTGACTTCATATTCCACCTTTTAAACACAATGAAGCGTAGTTGGGCCTGAAGTTTTAGAGTAACCTTGTAGTGGAGAATAGTTGGTATTGCATCTCTAATGGGCTGATATCTCATGCCTGAAACTCTCTGATGCTAAGTAGATAGTGGTATACTCTCTAGCAGGGAGATTACACTCCAGGAATCATTGCCCTCATAGGTGCTTTCTTGCTCTTCTTTATCAGCTTTCTGGCTAAAACCCAAAGCTTCTAGGGTGACTTCCTTAGAAATGTTGGTGAAGAGAGCAAACCCACGTTTTTAATTTGTGTGCCACCATGAATTGGATATCATCAAGTTTTGTGACCTGAGTACTCCTCGGGGACAGTTACTATGTCCCACAATGCACCTGAGGCTACTGGAGTCATACGTGAAATTGATACGAACCACTGTTAAAGAATATGAGTAGGAGAAACACACTACACACCAAGATTCCTTAGTCTTTTAATGTCCCTGTTGTGATGAGTTCCATGTTCTAAACATTCACACTCTAGGACTGTGATGATTGTGTTGGCCCATTTATCTCAAAACTGCCTTTAGATCATTCTTCCAATATCTTGTTGTGATATGTCTGCTTACTTTGTGATTATAATTTTAAATGCAGTTTTCACTCTTGCCTTGAAAAACAGAGAAACTATTCTTTTTTAAAAGTTATCCTTAACGTTAACATCTTAAAATGGATTTCAAGATGGTTTAGAATGTATCACCCACATTTTTTTCCATTTTAATTAAAATACAGCAATCACACATACATATGGAATTAGTAATATTTCATTAGCTATATGAAATGTGTAGTAGTCAAATCAAATTGGTGAGCATTTCTATCTTATTTATTTCCATTTGTCAACTTTTGCTTTTGTTTACTATTCCTTTTAGGCTCTAACTAGAAAAAATATTGCTTGAACCAATGTGTTTCCTTTGTATTCCAGTATTTTTAGAGTTTCAGGTTTTACACTTGGGTTTCTCATTTATTTTGAAGTAGTTTGAATACAGGCTGAAATGCAGTAGTTTTTTCAGTACTCTATGTGGATATTAAGTTTCCTCAGTACTACTTATTGAACAGGCTGTCTTTTCTTCACTATAGATTTTTGGTTCCTTTGTTGACTGTTTATGTTGTCTTTCCACCCTGAATACATGTACATTGACTTCTGGGATCCCTCTTTTGTTGGGTGACATGTCACTTTATGTCAGGCTTATTTTGACCACTATGATTCTGTAGGACCTAAGATTCAGTACATCATTCTGTGCTTGTGGAGGCTAGACAAGGGTATCAGATACCCTGAAACTGGAATTGCAGAAGTTACTAGGAATTGACCCTGTATCCTCTGAGAGAGTAGTCAGTGCTCTTAGCTACTGAGCCCTCTCTGATATTAAAATATTACTGCAGCTAAGACAGATATTTTAATGTTAGTTCTTCCATTCTAAGAATCTAACAGGTCTTTCTACTTTTCTACCTCCCCCGCTCTCTCTCTCTCTCTCTCTCTCTCTCTCTCTCTGTGGACACGTGTGTATGTATACGTGTCCAAATGTGTGAGGGCACACCTGCACATGGAGGCCAAGGGTTAACATGCCTTCTTCAATCACTCTTTACTGTATTCGCTGAGACAGTCTTTCACAGATCCCAGAGATAGCCAGTTTAGCTAATAAGATTATCCCATTTGTCCAGTCACTGGGGATCCAGTCACTACCTCCAGAGCTCTTAGGTTATACACCCACTCAGCTTTTACATGGGTGCTGAGGGTCTGAACTGCAGTTCTTATGCTTGCAGAGTCTTCTCTCTGGTCCAGAGAATGATCCATGATAGCTGTGCTTTGCTTTGAATAAGTGAGTTTATTAAGTATGTAGAAAGTAGAAATAAAAGAAAAAAACATGAAATACAAATAGATAGAAGTAACAGATGGATAGCAAAACATCAAATCAGTTTACACCATACAGCAAAGGCTACAAGAGTAGCCTGGTTTGGGAGAGCAAACAAGCGTAGTATCATCAAATCAAGGACCTAGTCACATAAAGCAAAAATCAGCTGGGGAAGTTGAAGCAGTCAGTTCCAAGAGTTCCAGGTTGAGTCCTCTCTCCCTGGACCAACTTCTGGCTTGCTATTCCTGTTTTAAGCATTGTTATACTGTGAGATAATAATAGTAACCTCTATGGCTCTCAAGAGCATA